TATCTTCCCAATATACTTTGGAGTTTGGAATCCATTTTACTAAGCAACTTTGAAACCACAAGAAACAGAAAACCATGGGGGATAGAGAGAAACAACGACTACCCATTTTTCATGCTCTGTCCCCCCTTCAGCATTCATTGTTCCTCTTTCTTGAGTCTCAGGGCTCAGCTGGGCAAGAACTTGGGAATAGCTACAAACTGGGGTGACAATGGTTTTAGAAGAAATGGAAAATAAACAGAGAAGGATGTTTTTGGTATTAAAAAAGCTTTACTTTTTTTGGATGACAAGGGTAATTCAAGAAATTTCCACTCTCTGTCCAATGAAATTAATGAATGGGTTAGCAAGTATAATTTACCCCAAAGGTGGTTAAAGGTTAGGGGGGGTTCAAGTATTTGTCAGAAAAGTCAAGGGAGGTATAAGTAATTTACCCTTTTAAAAATTTCATCATTTAAGTATAGCGTCTTGGGATAATACCCATTTGACCCAAATGGTTGAGCTATTGACCTACCACTCAAATAAGAAAATGGTTTCATTTTTTGGTTTATTAAATTTTTATTCCATTTCTATCATTAATAAAAGTATTTCTTATTTAGCATACTTAATTTTATTTAATATGATGCATATATACATAATATTAAAAATTTTCCAAAATCTTCTATAAATTTTCTTCATTTTCAGCTTTTATTTATTTTAAAATTATAGTATATCTTGGGTTGATCTGTTTGGCCCAGGTTAGGAAGAATGCAAAAACTGGACAGTATAGAAAAAAAGGATTTTCTCTCACTAGATTGATTGTAATTGAAACCAAATATATACAGTTGTCAGTTACAATATCAATTTGAATTTCAAAAAAAAAGATACAGGGTAAATTTGGTTAGTTATGAAATAAGTAAGTAATTAATAGGGGAATTAGTGAGTGACTGAGTCAGTTATTGTCGAGCTGTACATGTGCTAGCATGCCCCCACAAATTGAGCTCACTCTTAGTGATGTTCAATTTGGAACAAAGATCAACAAAATGGGCCTTAGGAAGGGCTTTAGTGAGGATATCTGCAACCTAATCTTTGGTTGAAATATAACGCACTTCTAAATTGCGAGAGGCCACTTGTCACAAACAAAGCGAAACTCTATATCCATGTGTTTGGTGCGAGAGTGAAAAATCGGGTTGGCAATAAGGTATGTTGCACCAACATTATCACACCACAGTGTTGGAGGAGTGGTGAGAGAGAGACCTAGTTCACCAATTAAAGACCGTAACCATGTGAGTTCAGCTGCTGCAGAGGCAAGAAAGCGATACTTGGATTCTGTAGAAGACCTTGCTACCGAGCGTTGCTTGCAAGAGGCCCATGAAATAAGGTTGGGCCCGAGATAGATGGCATAATCACTTGTAGATTTACGATCTTCCGAATTGCCATCCCAATCCGCATCCGAATAAGCAGACAAATTGAAGGAGGAAAAGCGAGTGAATTGCAATCCAAAGTGAAGAGTGGCTTTAAGATAACGAAGAAGGCATTTGATGGCTGCCTAGTGTTCAATGGTCGGTTTGTGCATGTACTGAGATACACAATTGACCACAAAGGCTATGTTGGGTCGGGTAATAGTTAAGTACTGTAGCATACCAACAATGCTCCTGTATTCTGTTGAATCAGGGAGAGCTGAACCAGATGTGCAAGTTAAAGTGGTAGAAGTAGACCTGTTCATGGGCCGGGTGGCCCGATGGGTCGGCCCGGCCCGGCCCGACCCCCGGACGGGCTTGAACAGGCTTTTTGGCCCGCGGGCTTAACCTCGGGCCAAAAGGCCTGGCCCACATAAAATTCGAGCCGGGCTCGGGCTTTGCCAAAATAGCCCGGCCCGACCTATAGTTAAGACTAAGTAAAAATCCTATGTGATGTCTATTTGAATAATTTTTTTGATTTGAGAAGGTCATTGATTCACTTGTAGGCTCATTGTTCATTTAAATAGGGGAAAAACATCTAAATTAAAATAAAAAATGTCCATTTGAATAGGGAAAATTTTGAATTTCTTTTATTAGGTTAGGCTTCGGGCTCGGGCTCGAGCTTCGGGCTTTTTATCAGGGCCGGGCTCGGGCCCAAGTTATAGGCCTGTTGGTCGGGCCGGGCTCGAGCTCGGGCCTAACAGTTTTTTGTTAATAAAGAAACAAAGCCTGGACCGAACCCGGCCCGGCCCGGCCCATGAACAGGTCTAGGTAGAAGGAAACATGGGTGTTTGGATAGCCTTAGATTCAGCCATCTTAGTCCATTGGAGAAGATCCCTAGTGTATATTTGTTGACTGAGAAATAGACCCGTAGAGTCGTAGGTGGCTTCAACACCTAAAAATTAATTGAGCTGACCAAGGTCCCGTAAAGCAAAGGTAGAACCAAGGGACTGTAAGAGGGAGTTAATTGTTGAAGTATCATTGCCCATGACAAGGATATCATCAACATACACCAAAAAAATAAATGAGAGTGCCTCCATTGCGGTAAACCAAGAGTGAAGAATCTGTTTTAGATCCAACAAATCCATGTGCTTGAAGAAAATTGCTGAGACGTTGAAACCAAGCTCGTGGGGCTTGTTTCAGCCCATAGAGTGAGCGTTGCTATAAGCAGACATGGGTTGGGTATTTGAGGATCCACAAACCCAGGGGGTTGGGACATATAGACATTCTCATCGAGGTAGCCATGTAAAAAGGCATTGGATACATCAAGTTGTTGCACCGTCCAGTTTTGTGAGAGAGCAATGGCAAGAATGATTTGAATCGTTGTGGGCTTCACAACTGAACTAAATGTTTCTTTGTAATCAACCCCCTCTCGTTGCTGAAAGCCCTTGGCCATGAGACGGGCTTTATAACGCTCCATAGTACCATCTAGGTTTCGCTTAATTTTGAAAACTCATTTACAACCAACCAAGTTCTGAGGAGACTTGGGGGGAACCAATACCCAAGTACCATTCTTGATGAGAGCATTAAACTCATCGGTCATGGCTTGACGCCATTGTGGATCTTTAACTGCCTGTGAATAGCTTGTGGGTTCTATTTGATCATTTGTATTTCAAAATCCTGAAAAAAGAATTTTTAGCCACTAGGTCCCATCTTGATTTAGTGACCATAGGATGACATCGAGTGGGTGCTGGAGGTACTATAGCATTCGATGATGTGTTGTCAACAGAAACTGGAGTGGATGACATAGCAACATTAGATGGAGAGATAGTTGTAGATGAGTGGTTGTCTATTGTGGGTCTTGGAGTGTTGACAGATGGTGGCAGATTACTAATAGATGGTGGAAGTTCAGCATGTGACATAGATGAAGACACTGTGTTATGCTATAATGGAGAAGAAACAATAAGCGGCAGCAAAGTTCTTTCTTTGGATGAGTGATCAATGGTACTTGCTACTACAAAGGGGAATGTATATTCATCGATGACTGCATGCCGAGCAATAAAAATTTTCTTTGTTGCTTGGTGATAACACAAATAGCCTTTGTGAGTGGGGTTGTACCCTACAAAATTACACTGTTTGGACCTGGGCTCAAGTTTGTTTTTGGTATATGGTCGTAGCCAGAGATAAACTACACACCCAAAAACCTTTAGAAAGGTGATGGCGGTGCTTGCACTCTACTGACCCATTTTGTTCATGGGTATGAGGGCAAGAGACCCGATGTACTATACCTTGAGAGTCAAGGAACTTGGAAAATGACCGATACTCTCCATCCCAATCTGATTGAAGAGATTTAATCTTACAGTCAAAGTAATTTTCAACTAGACGTTTGAATCTCATAAACACATCATGAAGCACATTAGATTTATGTGAGATGAGAAATATCCAAGTATATTTAGAAAAGTCATCCATAAACAATACATAGTAACATAAACCATCCACTGAGGCAACCAAGGCTGGCCCCCAAACATCTGAAAAGATCAAATGTAGTGGTGCAATACTCTTAGTAGAACTAGATTGAAGAGAAAAACGATAATTTTTGTTGGTTTGACATGCAACACATAGAGATCTGTCCAATTTATTTATGCAAGGTAAACTATGCTGGTTGAGAATACGCTTCACAATGTTCATGGAGGGATGTTCAAACTAATGATGCCATTGAGTGTAGGCAGTACGTTCACTAGTCATTGCCAACGAATGAGATTTATTTGTGGAGAGAAAACGATCTACTATGAACTGGTACAAGCCATTCTTATTCGGGCCTTGAACTAGTTCCTTCCCTGTCTCCCGATCCTTGATCACAAAATGAGTAGGATGAAACTCAAATACAACATTGTTATCTCGTGCAAATTGACTAATAGATAAAAGATTTTTCTTAATTTCAGGAACAAGGAGAATATCTTTCATCATATAGGGGTAAGAGTTAGAGACAAATTGTGAAGAACCAACATGGGAAATACACAAACCTGTTCCATTACCAACTAAAATTTGTCTCGGACCTTGATATTCAGAGTGAAGGGACAGATTGGATATGTCTGTAGTTAAGTGATTTGAAGTGCCCAAGTCAGGGTACCACACATTTCCGAAGGTATTGAAATGAAGAGTAGTAGCCATGTTGGATGCCATTTCACCTATGAATGCATGGTTGAAACGTTGTGGGCAATGCAAAGCCTTGTGTCCCAGCTGATTAAAGAGTTGACAGTAGATGCATGGATACTGTGGTCCACCTCCATGATTATAATTTGAATACTGACCATTCCCTTTGTGGCCTTTGCCACTGCTACGATTCTGACCATTGTGTTGATGTGGATATTGACCTTTGCCTTGCTATTTGTAATGGGTGTTCTATTGTTTTGCTTTATAATTGTTGTTGTGACCATAGTGCGAACCTTGATAGAACTTTGTAGTTGTATTAACTAACGATATTAGAAGATCTGATGAGTTGTGAGGTTGAAGATCATTCAAACGAATTTCTTGACTAAGAAGCATACCACAAAAGTCATCAATGGAAAGAGGATATGCTCTTGTAGTGAAAGATGTAGCAAATGGTCCATACTCAGGGCCAATGCCTCATAGAGCGGCCAAAATGAGATCTTCATTAGACATTGGCTTGTCTATTGCTGCAAGATTATCAGCAATGATACGCACATTTTGAAGGTACTCAGTACAACTAGTAGATCCTCTCTTGAGATTTTCTAATTGAAGTCTCAATTGTTGAACTCTCACACGAGAGGACGAGGAATATGTCCGGGTAAGTTTCTGCCACGCATCATAGGATGTAGAACAACTAACAACATGTGCCATAGTGGATTCAATGAGGGAGGCAATGATCCAACTTAATATCATTTGATCATTTTTTTGCCAAGTAATATAAGCAGGATTGACACTCACTGTGTCTTCAGTATCAGTTCCAGGGACAGAGTTCTTAACATATTGAGGAGGACAGGGACTCGTATCATCAATATATCCCAATAGTTGGTGAAGTCTGAAAATTGGCATGAACTGAGCCTTCCATAGATTAAAGTTGTTCCCGCTCAACTTGATGGGAAGAAGGTGTGCAATGTTGCCCATGTTTGATGGACTAGGTGCACTCATTGATCCATATGCTACAGTGGTTGCTGTAGAGGAGGTGCTTCCTTGTGCCATGAGAGTCCGGATACGAAAGCTCTGATACCAGGTTAGGAAGAATGCAAAAACTGGACAGTATAGAAAAAAAGGATTTTCTCTCACTAGATTGATTGTAATTGAAACCAAATATATACAGTTGTCAATTACAATATCAATTTGAATTTCAAAAAAAGATACAGGGTAAATTTGGTTAGTTATAAAATAAGTAAGTAATTAATAGGGGAATTAGTGAGTGATTGAGTCAGTTATTGTCGAGCTGTACATGTGCTAACAGCTCGAAAGGTTGAATTATTAACCCACCACCTAAAAAAGTTGGTTTTTGTTTTTAGATCAGTTTTAAAAATTTTGGCTTTATACTTTTAAAATTATTGATCATTATGGATTTAATTAATGAAATTTAATATTGAAAAATAAAGATACCTTAAATATAGGATTCAATGAGGGAGAAAAAGTCAAGAAACCACGGGGAGCTTGCTATTCCCATTTTTTTATAATAGTATAGATATTTTTAAAAATCCATGATGATTTTAATGAAATATTACGAAGTTCTTATTAATATTCCAAATTTTTAATTTAAATATATAGCCTATTGAAGAAATCTGAAATGTCAAAGATATTAGAAAAAAAAAAGATTTTTGGAAAATTTCATATCACCACCTGATAAATTGAAGAGATTTTTGAAAAATTTCTCCACATGCTGCCAATTAATATTGTGAACTATGGCTATGTCTGTTTGTGAAATGAGGTGTATGATTGAAACATTAGGTTTAAGTCCAGAGGGTAATGTATTAATAGTTACAACTACATCAAATTAATCTTCTGTTTTGCCTGACAGCTTTCATTCTTTTGGTAAATAAGAATACTTTTATTTAATTTAGGAATTCACTAATCCCTTTTGTTTTAGTTATTCTATTCTGAAAGTGTTTGTACAGTAATGAAGTCAAAGTGTACCTTGTCCAAGATGATCCATTTGTCAAGAACTGTTATAAGGGTATTAAGAAATTCTCAACTATTCTAGGTTGGTTGGTGAGTCAAAATTCTATTTCTTGCCATTTTATCAAAAGTCAAAACCAATAATGGAAAAAACAAAACCCTCATTTTCTCCAAGAGATTCATATTATTTAAAAGGCACATTTCTATCAAGAACGACTGTTTTGATTCTCAGGTACATGATTTTGAATTGGACAAAATCAATTTGGATAGATTGGACGCACCAATAAGACATTATATTGGACCAGTTCGGACTTAATGGTCCAAAGTATTTATTGGATTGGATTGGACCTTGTCCATCCATAATTACTTTATATTGGAATGGATTGGATTGAGCTAATATCTGATTCATTGATAGAAGATAAGAACATAGATTTAATGAACTAGGTTTGGGTTAGAATCTAAATTAAATTAAATTAAATTTGAACAAATTGGATGATCCATACATTGAATTGGACTGGTCCAAAATATTCATTGGATTGGATTAGACCTAAACCATTTGTAATGGACTGACATTGAACTAGATAAGGTTGGACCAAATCCAGTCCAATTGACACCCCTAGCCCTGATATGGGTCTAGAGGTGTAAAGTGGGCCGTCGTGGGCCGTCACGGGCCAACTCAGCACAGCCCACGGCCCAGGCCCGTGTGAGCCCATGCCGGGCTGGCCCGTTGGCCAAGCCTTGGCCCAAATCGGGCCATGGGCTGGGCCAAATCTATTTTTGCCTATTTATTTAAAAAAATTGAAAAAAATTTAAAATTTTAATTTTATATGAATTTTGATGTATACAATTTCTTATATATAAAATAATTAAATAAAATAGTATAATAAAATTGAAAAAAAAATGTTTATTTTATTAATAAATTATATACTATATATTATTATATAATTATAATTTTTATATAATATATAATATATTATATATATAAATATATAAAATATATAAATATTATGTATATATAAATATATATAATATATATAATGAAGGGATGAGAGATCCATCATATGGATGGCCGAACCCTGTAGGTAGGTTGGGCGAAATTTCAAAAATTCCTCTCTCTCCCATGTGAGAATCACATTCCCTACTTTAGAAAACTGCATTTTCAATGATCAATCTTGAACCTAAACCAGACCAAATCTGAAACCAAAAGGTAGAAGAGGGATATACTTGATACGGAGTAATAGTAACCCCCAACGAAGGTGTTCACACCCAAAGAGAATACCGAAAATTGTTCCTACTGAAGATGACATAGCGTAGGGTGGAGCAGAATCAATAGGATGGTTCTTCAGCAAAAAGTCGATGGAGGACAGGTGAGCACGACTTCTGATTATCTTTTCTCCAAAATATAATATCAAGAACTCTTCTTGATCGCTCCCACAGGTGGAGATCGAACTGGTAATGGCGGCAATAGCAAGAGAAGGCAAGAGCAGAAGATGGCGTCAGTCCAACTATATGCTGTCTTCTCTCTTGAATCAGTAAGACTGAAGGATGGTTTGGGGTTCGCCCTTCTCCTCTATTTATAGCCTTAAAAAGAGCATCTCCTAATCCCATTAGGAATTTCCTAATCCAAATCTTGTATTTGCATCTTGACTCTCTTTAAGAGATAAGGATAATCCCTTATCTTATCTATAGATAAAGATCAGCCCTCCTAATCTAATTAGGAGTTTCCTTATCCAAATCTTTATTTGGATCTGGACTCTATGAGTGGATAGTGACAATCCCTTATCCTATCTGTTGATCTAAATCCTAGAACCACCCCTCTTTAATTAATCTAATTAAACCTGTTCGAATTGGGCTTTAGGGCCATTAAGTCCATGTACTCACTTATCCTCCAAACATATGCCCAGTTGGATATCCTTGTATGGCGTAGGACCCAAACATTGATCAACACATCAGCCACATGGGTTCAGACTAGTCTCTGTTACAAGGCCTGGCCGAATTCACTGTAGAAGACAGTAAACCTCTGAGTCCATCACCATGGGCTCTTAATGGGCCCAACATTTACACTAAATGGTCCTTGGGTCAAGCTACCTTATAAAAACCAAGGATTGTGGGCAGATGCAAGGTTAGCCCATCAGGTATTACTCTCAATGGTTTTACACTTAACCTCTCAGCCCATAATGATCAAACACTGCCCAACAAGAGAGGACCTCTCCCTCGGCTGCAAGGTATTACCCTCAATAGTCCACAACCTAATTTGATTCATGTTATCCACATAGATATGGCTTTTAATTTATGTTCCATTCCCATTTGTTCATCTCTTAGATATCCCTCTTATCTCAGTGACGGAGACTGCGAATTATGTCTCTAGAAATGTGGGAAATCACATAGGATGCATGGAGCCAATTGTTTCAGCTGCATAACCCCACCACCTTTCTGTGAATGATCATATCCACTCATCTTATGAGCTTTCCCTTTGGCCTCTGTCAAACAATGTTCATTGCCATTTTAGGTTAAACCTTTCTGTCCAGTGAGTGCTCACCCATCATATTCGTGAACGCCAAGGTACCGCAAGAGAATCTTTCATTTTAAGATAGGCCCCTTCCACATCGGTCTATGACGCCCCTATCATCTTATGAAACATTCCAACATATCCAGCAGCAAATGGATAGCCCAATTTTATGGTGCGTTTCCTCGTTATTGAATGACCCATCTTCATGCTAATGATGAAAGGCCTTTAGAGAGTTCATCATATGAATCACCCTATCACATGCACTCATATTTCAGTGAAGGGAACGAAATATTACGCCCTAGTTTAGTTTAGGTCAAGCCAAAGTGGCTTCCACTGACTTTCATATAGCCAAATTTAGGTAGGCCCTAAACGGCTAGGGTTCCGCACAGTTCCTCTTAGGGAGGAAGCTGATGTGGGGCCCATGAAGAAGGGAGATCATCCAATGATCTTAAGGACACCATGGCAATGATGTGCATTCAGCCATGGTGTGCGCAAAAGCCACTATCGTATCAGCATGGGCCAAGTACCTATGGCCCATGAACGTTGCATATCACACATCCATACATCACATGCATGAAAACAAAATTGATCCAATCAATTAATATCTACAAAACCCATAATTAAAGCCCATAATTTCCATAATATTACTGATTAATATTATCTAGGTATATGAGTTGAATTGCAAAAAGCAGTTCGACCCATATAGCTTTTATGCAGTTAATGGGCTAAAGTAGACATGTTCATGGGCCGGTGGCCCGACGGACCGGCCCGGCCCGACCCCCGGACGGGCTTGAACAGGTTTTTTGGCCCGCGGGCTTAACTTCGGGCCAAAAAGCCCTGCCCGCATAAAATTCGATTCGGGCTCGGGCTTTGCCAAAATAGCCCGACCCGAGCCCGGCCCGGCCCGACCTATAGTTAAACCTAAGTAAACCCGGCCCGACCTATAGTTAAACCTAAGTAAAAACCCTATATGATGTCCATTTGAATATTTTTTTTGATTTGAGAAAGTTGTTGATTCACTTGTAGGCCCATTGTTCATTTAAATAGGGGAAAAAAACATCTGAATTAAAATAGATAATGTCTATTTGAATAGGGAAAATTTTGATTTTCTTTTATTAGGTCGGGCTTCGGGCTCGGGCTCGAGCTTCGGGCTTTTTATCAGGGCCCGGCTCGGGCCCAAGTTCTAGGCCCGGCTCGGGCCCAATTTCTAGGCCCGTTGGTCGGGCTGGGCTCGGGCTCGGGCCTATTATTTTTCTGTTAATGAACACTAAAAGCCCGACCCAAGCCCGGCCCGGCCCGGCCCATGAACAGGTCTAGGCTAAAGTAGTTTTAACACATTAAAACTGGGTTTTACAGGTGTGGGCTGAATTGCATCTTGCAATTAACCATCAACTCCTGGACCCAATAATGAAAAATTAGGGCTGAGAATAGCCCCACCGAACCACAAATTCGGTCCAACCAGTTTGGTCCAATTTGGTTCGAATAGGTCTAGGGTTTGATTTTTAATTCAAGATTTTGATATGAAATTAAATTACTGATAAAAGACATTCAAGAATCAGTAGAAGGGTTGTTCGTA